GACTCCCGCCAAGAATCCTTCGCACTCCACTTTGGTTTTGCTTAGGGCGATTTTTACAAATTCTATATTCATCATTTTCCTCATGGGCGAATTCCCATAACTGAGGACATCCTGATCGAGCGCTAGGGAGTATTTTTGGAAACACATGCTTCCCAGCGGACGGCAACTCCTTTCGTTGCTCCAACAGATCCGTTTGGTCCCTTCAGGAGCTCTGCGCCTTGCTCCGCCACGCGCCCGGCACGGCACAGGCCGTGCTGTGGCGCGCGGATGCCGCGTTGGCCGCGCTCCGGGTAGATGCGCTGGAGCATGTGGTGGGGCGGCGGCGCAGCAGTGGGCTGGCGCGTGTGGCAGCTGAGGCGGGAAGATGCAGAACCCAGGATAGAGACCGATAAAGATGGGAAAGACAAGAACAAATTCCATGGCCTTGTACCATGCTCTGGGTTGAGCATGCCAAGATGTGAGGCCAGTGAGGCCAGAGCTTTGGGTTGCTGGAACTTGGTCTGAGATGTTCTGGTGGTCTTTCGTGCTTTAAAGTGGTTGTAGAGTGGTTAGAGTGGTTGTGGTCTTTTGCTGCTAAAGGAACAGGGAAAGGAATGAGACGGTGTTTGGAGGTGTTTGTGAAGGACGAATGCCCAGATGGTCACACTGCCTAGTTCACCAGTTCCGTGGAGGCCATCCACCCTCCGTTTTCTCCGTTTCGGCCAGCTGAAACCATCCGAGCGGATTCCCGTGGAGCCTGGAGCCTTCGGGCTGGGATAGATCTCTAAATACCATGGAGGCCTTTGAGCTCAACCGGGCAAGAAGATCCTACGTGGCCAGTCTAGCATAAGACCTGGCCAAGACCTGGCCAGTCTAGCATAAGACCTGGCCAAGACCTTGGACACATCCACCTTCCGAAGTCGGCCAAGCGACCTGGGCAAACCTGAGCGACCGTGCACTCACGAATTCTGGGGCATCCACCATCGTTTTCCACACCTCGAAAGCACCACCGCTCCCACCGAAGCTCCCGCCACCACCGAAGCGCCCTGGCCAGGACTTCGTCCACGCCTGCGCGTTGGAGCCCCACGTCGTGAGCCCGGAATGGCCGACCACCAGCGAGTGGCAGGCGCTCTACGCCCGCGCCGGGAGGCTGCGCCCAGGCCCTGAGAGGACCGGGGACCGATCGATGGAGGAGGATGGGTGGACAGATTTTCTGGTCGATCCCAGGGAAGGATCACAGATAGTTGGGTGGTATTTTGAGGTCATTTTTGGTGGTGAAAGGGTGTGAATTGAGTTGGATTCCGACCTTTGTCTCCGTGCTCCAGCCGCCCTGGAATTCCGTGGCTGATCCACCTTTGGGCCCCCGTCCTTTGCCGGCTGAGAGGATTAGAGGTGGTTTGGGGGATGGATTCGTGACCCAAACTCGTCATGAATGAGTCAGACCTCGATGCCCTCAAATGAGGGCCACAAAATAGGGCCCTGAAGCGGTCGGCTCGTCTGAACCAATGCACGATTCCAACTCATGAAAAACTCCACGTACTGTGTCATGAAAACGGACGATTCCCTTGAAAACTCTTCAGCTTTCCGAGGGTAGGCCACATCGGCCACTTTCTGCTCCCTGGAAGTCACACCCCTTTTGGGTCTTCAAAGGCTTTCCTTCTTCCGACCCCTTCCAAGATCATCTCTTAACCCCCCCTTCCAGCCACCCCGGACGAGGATCGCCCCGGAGCTGCTGCTGGCGCTGGCGGCCGAAACGCGCCCCGACGCGTCGGCGCTGGCGGTGCTGGAGCGTGCCTGGCGCATGGGTGTGCAGAGGTGCGGTTTCAGATGGAAAGAGATGGGGTTTCGGCTCAGTTGATGGCTGGGACCATTTTCTGATGGCTGGGTAGGTGAATTGCTTCAATGATCTTCAAGGATGCCTTGTGTTTAACTAGGCCTTTGCAGTTTGAAGTCGACGTCTCGTCCGGCTTCGGAGGCTGAAATGGAGATCCGAGAGATTCTAGCAATTCGTTGGTTGCTCCGACATGGTGTTTCACAGGTTTCCGACAGTATCACGGTACCAATTCGTTCTTGGCAGGGGGAGTGGTTGTCATCTATCGATCTAATATACAATCTGTTTATATACTATTCACATCTATTGACTATTGACTATTCATTCCCCCCAACTGAATGCCACAATCTCCAAGCGGAGTCACGTCCTTTCTTGTTTGGGTTTTGGAAGACTCCTGAATTTCAGACACCTCCAAACTCATGAACCACCTGAACATCGTCACCTCGAGACCTGGAATTGCGGGTGAAACCCGCGAAGCAGCGGCCCTGGGCTGCAGGGGTGGTTTGGTTGGTTTAGAAAGAGGACACAGCAAGATGTTTCAACCATCTTATTAAAAGTGTATGACTCTTTTTTGGGAAAAGACTCTGTGCAACTGCAACACCCATACCACATGCACTTTCTGCACTTGTCTGAAAAAAGAATCTTTGACTTCGTCGCTGCCAGGGTCGAAGTCATGGGCAGGCAGGGTCGAAGCAAAAGGGAAGCGAAGGGAAGCGAAGTGTGGAAGCACATGGAACACATCTGAAGCTGTGACCCTACAGAATCCGGCCCCTTAGCCACGGCCAGAGCCTTGGGCCGCCACATGGGCTACGTAAGAGAGTTCTTGGAAGCCACGGCTGGACCCCCCCCATGACCGGTGCGCTGACTGGGCACCATGGGGGGGGTGCCGTTTCAGATTCTTTTCTGAGTTCAGAGCCCCAAAAAGGCTATCCCAGTTGGGTACCTCAGGTTACGAATCATATCATTAAGCTCACTTGTAACCTCTCTTGGGAAGAAAAATGACTCAGGTGAAGTACTGGAGGAGTACTGGATCTGATTTCAGCTGATCGACCACCAGTTCGGGCATTTGGGAAAATCCTTGATTCCTTTTTTTCGGTTACCTTGCAGTCGGACCAGCTTTGGAATGTCTTGGAATTGGTCCAGGACCGACTTCCAAGCACATACCATCCACACTCCATCTGACCAGTAACCTTCCCACCTAGTTAGTACAGTTAGTAACCTCCATCCCCACCTAACGAAACATCTCTAAGCAGTTAGTACCATCCACCTCCTCCTTGCACACGCACACCAGAGGTTTTTTCAGGACCCGAACAGTGTTCTATCCCATCGTTCGATAATCTGGGACAGAACCTCTGATGGCAGGTTCTTGGGCTGGCTGGATGGACCAGCGTCCGGACCCATGGGGGAACAGACGGACGAGCTCAGGGTCTACACCATGAACTCGCCAAGAGTGCTACCGGCCAGTGGATGAACTGAGCCCAAACTCGGGACCCGGGACGCCGAGTTTCTCGTCGTGTAGGGCGAAGGGAAGGAGAAGAAAAGGCACCACACTGACTTGTCCTGGGGCCCTGAAGCGGGGTATGTTCTTATTTTTTGCCCTATTCCAAGAGCCGTTCTTGTCCTTGACTACAACTGACTAGTACAAACGGTGTCTGGATCCACATCATGATACGCCGCCGAATGCGACGAGGATTGGCCGAATCCTCCCAGTCGACGACAATGCACCAGCTTCGAGTTCACCAGTCCATGTTGAGTCCTCCTAGTACTACAATAGTATTGCTAGTCCCATGTCCTCCTAGTGTTCTGCTTCCAGCTTCGTGTTTCAGTCCATGTTCTAGTCCTCCGCGTCCTCGTAGTGATGTCTGTGGGGAATGAGTACGGCCTCGGTTTGTGGCCAGTGTGCCTGGTACAACACCGGTTCCATCTGTTTAGGGCAGCTATAAACCATCCAAGAGAAGTTCAGTGACCTTAATTTTAGGACCCCTAACCTGAGGTACCCAACTGGGATAGCCTAATAGCCTGGGCTTCTGAACAACCTCTGTCAACCCAGACACATGGCTGTCACAATGAACACCTGTCTTGGACCTCTCAGCTGCTTAGGGCTCGAGATCCGACCCTATCCTGGCTCCTCGAACACGCTCGGCCGTGTCTGGTGCTGGACCGGTTTGGTTCCCGGTCCAGCACCAGACGCCGGTCCAGCACCCTCTCCCACAGGTCACGGGAGATGGGGAGATGGGCGAACAAATGGGGAGACCTTTTGGCCCTCGGTGTAGGCGTAGCGGCGTAGGTGTGGCAAGCCACGACCCCCCAGGCGTGGCAATGGTACCAAACCGGAACATCGACTGGTCTACCCAGCGAGAACTGGATATAACATACACACCCACATGAGATGAGGGGACAAAGGGAGTGGCCAACGAGGTGGTCTGCCACCCCCCCCTTTCTTGTTTCCTCATCCGACCATGTTTGTTCTCGCACCGAGGTCGGCGAGGATGCTGCGCGACTGCTTGGGGCAGGTGGGGCGGGACCGGCGGACCTGGGGGCTTCCGTTTTCACTCAAGCGAGGCTTTTGTCACATAAGGCTTCTCACCCACCCGTTCCCCACCCCTAAAACGAAAGACAACATGAAAGGATGGGGACTTCCGCCTTTTGCCGAAGGTGACACCGTCCATAGACGTGGACATACGTGGACCATCGCATGGACTTCGGGCCGATCTGGACCGATCCAGATCGACCACGTGGTTCGACCACGTGGTTCGGCTGCCACACGGCTGTGAACACATCGATTGATGGATGATGGTTGTTTTTCTAAAGCATCAAGCAACATTGGACCGGGGTTTTGTTCTTGACTTAAATTTACCCTATGCGGGGTAGTCCCAACTTATTCTTTACCGTTTTTTTTGCATTGGACATACTATAGCTAAAATCCCCCAACTAACAAGTGTACAGGTGTTTTGGATCATTCTGAATCCAGGTTGATCATCTGCTTTGCATTCGTGTGGTGGATCCGGTTCCGGATTTCCCATTCCCCCGCAGTGGCTGAACCAGCCGAACCGCCCGGGCGGTCCGAGACGAAGCCGAAGCTCGCCCCATCGACCTCTCTTGGCTCAGTGCAAAGACGCAGCTCCAACGACCTGCTCCGCTCAGCAAGCCTGCGCTCCAGTACGACGCGCTCCCGCGACCCAGCTCGGCCATGTGGAAGGTCCTTGCCATTCTCGGCGTGGCCATGACGGGGCTTTTGAAAGGGTGTGGGTCTTCTGGCGTCAGACTGCGGACGGAGTGGGAGGATGCGGGGGTCGCAGGTCGGTCATGTACCAAGGGAAGTTACATTCAGCTGTTTGGTCCCACTTGGCATTGCTAGTGGCCCCCCCTAACGTTGAAACTGTTAGCCAATCCTTGACCTGGAAACAAAGGTCATGCCAGGTCTATTTTTTCTGAATTTGACTTGAGTGACTTGAAGTTTGTTGGAGCCGTGCTAGCGCAAATCTCAGGTGCGACCGTGACAAGATCATTTCCTGCGCCACCACCAAAGCAATTGCGAGTTCATCGGTGTGTGGCGAGTCGGGATACTCGAAAGTCATCAGCGGCACCACCACTGTGGCGGCCTGTTGCCAGGTAGGAATCAGGGTAGAAAATGGGGAGAGGATGGTTTAGATGCTGGTTGCAGCCAGAAATTGAGGTGTTACACAAAATGCTTTCCATCAATTAATCAAACACGAGGGCCCCTCCGCCAATAAAAGAATCCGGTGCGTCTTCTTTTTTGGATAGTGGGTCCCGCAAAGTAGGGGGGACCCGCGAAGATGGACACCTGGGAAGAGCTTGAAAACCGAAAAATGCCTAGGACTTCTAAACATTTAAAATCCTTTATTAAACTCGTATCAAACATATAGGACAACTCTCCAGTTCGGTTACAAAGACCCTTTGTCAACATAGTTATTCTTCATTAGACTAACAACTAAAGCTTTCGAAAGGTGATGTCGCGGTGCCATGCGGTTTTGCGCGGCCTCGGTTTGCCTCAATACATGCTATTCCGGGAAGAAAAACATGCTGGTGTAAATGCGGTGCATGATGGTGGACAGACAGGGTGGACAGTTGGGGTTGCTGTTGGAACCTAATTTAAGTAACTACACCAAATCGACCATGTTGGTAGTTTAGTAGCGGGCTTAAAGGGCGGTAGCTTAAACACAAATATATATATATATATATATACCGTAGTTAGGGGTCTCCCAGTGTTCTTACTAGGCACTAGGGGTTGCAATACTATGCTATAGCGCACGGTATCCAATATCAGTGTATTTTTGATGTATTCGTTTTGTCATCTATGTAGTCAATATATATATATAAATTAGAGTGTCAATCACATATAATACGTATATATATAGTCTGTAGGCTCTAGAATACAGCAAACATATCTATGTTCTTATGATCAGATATGGACAGTTGCAAAATTAAATAGTAAATTGTACATGGCAATGTAATGTACACTGTATATTGTAAGATGTAGTACCAATTATATATATATATAAAATGTAGCATATTCAAAACTTTTCTTTAAACATATATAGTTTTGGTTTACTCTATTTTATGCACGTTCCACAGTGTATATCCTTTCTATATCTTGTACTAGTGTAAAAATATTTTTCATATCGCGCGCATTGATCAATCACTATATCTGGACTTTTTTTATATGATATAAAATACTTGATGTATACGCACAAAAAACAATATATACATAAATAAACTAAGAAAACAATATATTAAAAAAAGTGTTGACATGTATGACCCATATATACTTGTCTTTGGCTCAAGGGAGGAAAGACGCTCCGCAGCGTCGATAAGGTGTTTTGATGGTAGCGCGAAGGCCCGGTGAGAGTGAAAGGGACCACGCGTTGAGAACAAAAGAAGAGCGGCATAGTAAAGCCGAACCATCCTCAGAGGAGGAGTGGATTGAAGAGGTAGGGTCAGTGTCGGAGGTCGGTCCGGCCGCACCAGCGACTGAACCCGAGGAAAAGAATGAAGAGGAGAAGGAAAAGGAAGAAAAGAAAGAAGAAGAGGAGGAACCTTTGCCTGACTAATTGCGTGAAACCGAGATCACCACAGAACAGTTTGAAGAGGAAGAAGAAGATTTGAAAAGGAAAAGGAGGAGAAGGAGGGAGAAGGAGGTTTGGAAGAGTGCGCCCCTTCTCAACCAGGTGATCCTGACCAAGCGGCCGATTTGGCCGGGCAGCAAGAAGAGAAGCTGCCATCCGTGCTGGGAGACGAACATACAGACCAGACGGAACAAGGCACGGCTGGGAATTGACGTCCAGCAGATTGCACGGCAAGGCAGAAAAGGCAATCGCAACTACCCCGTGGCGTACAGAGGCAAAACCAAAGAAGGTTCAACGGCTTGGTGGAAATGCTCAAGGAATTGGGGTCTGGATTTAGATTGAGAAGCCACGTATCGCAGTTTGAAAGATTACATCAGGTTCCAAAGCAAGAAAGGAGGAGCAATCTCACAAGAGCTCAAGGATAAGGTCAAGGATTTCGGCCGATAGCGGCGGTTGAGTGAGATCAAGGAGGAGCGTGAGGAGCAAAAGGAACGGCACAAAGTTCGAAGAGCCGCCGAAAGGGATCGTGAAGAAGGGCCAAAAGAGGAGGAAGAAGAATCTCCTAAGAGCCCATCCCGAGTGCGGTTGCGGCCAAGAAGCCCGTTGAGGTTGCGCTCAGCAGCAAGGTAGACTGCCATCAGAGCGGTACAGCGGCCGGCAAGCCGCGACAAGTTGAGGGCCGCGAAGTTTGGGTCCGAGCCATTTTTAATTCGAACTAAAGGGTCAAAGATTTGGCCAACGAGGCCGCAAAAGAGCAAGAGATTGCCAAGTGGAAACTCGAGTCGCCCAGCTCGTGTGACGAGCGCACGGTGAAGCAGCGCGCCAAAACCATCGAATATATCAAAGCCCGTGGACTAAAAAGGGCGCCCGCTGCGAGGAAAATCCAGCGGTAGCAAGCGCTCGCACCAAGACGCTTGCCAAGCCTCCGGCAAAAGAGGAGGCAACAGAGGGTGAGCCATCCTTCGGAAGGCCACCTGCAGAGTTGGCAAGCAGCAGCGGATCAAAGGTCAAGGAGACCTCAGAGGTTCGCACCATCCCCCACAAGGGGCAGTAGAGCCTTTTCACTAGCGGCCTGGTAAGGGGCCGGAAGACGGACCGTCTCGTCCCGGCATTGCGGCGGTTGAAAGAGATGGCGCCCGTGTGCCCAAGCACAGCAGCAATGTCCAGTCAACGTTCGCCCTTTCAACTGGAGAAAGTGAATACTATGCCCTAGTGAAAGGCAGTTCAACAGGTCTGGGATTGCAGAGCCTCTGCAAAGATCTTGGACTAGGACTGGAAGGACGCCCTTGGGCGGTGGAAGGAGATTCAACTGCCGCCAAGGGCACTGCACAGAGAGTTGGATTTGGCAAGGCGCGCCATATCCAAACGAGGTACTTGTGGCCACAGGAGAGACCTCAAAGTTGCCCATGTCCCTGGAAAGAAGAACAAGGCTGACGTTCCATCACCAAGTCAGTCCCTGGAGTCCAGCTCCGGAAGACGGTGGAAGATCTCCAATACATCTTCCTCGACAACAGGAGCAAAGGCCAATGGGAGAGATGGACTGTCATTTGTTTGTATAGCTTACTCAGAGTTAAATCTCTTCGCAAGAGGAGGAGTGTTGAAATGTATAGCCCATATGTACTCCGCTTGTACAGTCTTGACGAAGGCCTTCAATGATTCTGGCTCAAGGGAGAAAAGGCGCTCTGCAGCGTCGATAAGGTGTTTTTATATTGTTTTTTGGTTGTGTATATTTGATTTTCACATATATATATATATATGCGGATATATATATATGTATATGTATATGTATTATATATATATATGTAGTATATGTGATTTAGAGCTTGTACAAATATGTGCAAAATTTGTCTTTGTACACTTTGATATTTAAAACATAATGTGTATAACACAGATGATAACAAAGACACACACACACATATATATATAGTGTATATATATATATATTCAATCCATACCAATGAGATCTTGTTTGCAGCGCCTTGATGAAAATCCGTGGATGTTTGATTCAGTCATTTGATGTCGTCATTTGGAATGCGCTGCCAGGCCCTCAAAGAGGCTCAGGATTGCTATTTGGACGGTTGTGATTGCAATACGGAATGCGCTGAAAGGGACAAGGCAACCGGTTGCCCCGTCAGCGGGAAACTAAGTGACCCGATCACCTTCTGGGTGGCTTGGCAGCTGCAAAACGACATGATTAGGAAAATGCCTGGGTGAGTGTTACTCTTGATGGAAGAACTCGCCAGAGAATCACAGGTATTCAATAGACGGCGCTAATCACAATCAGTATCATTGAACTCCAAAGTGGTTTTGCATTCAACATCAGTTTGAGTCTGAGTGTGTACACTTTGAATGACTCACTCACTCACTCACTCACTCACATGCAAGTGGAAAAACCCGTGATTTTGCAAGGGGTGATTTTCCAATTTAATCAAATTTGATGAATTTGAATGTGCAATCATTTGAGGCTTTGATTATGGATGGCTTGGAGCATGGCGTTGAAAACTGTGAAACAGTTGGTGTATTTGCCACTAGATGCTGAGCGGTGAGACCAGAGTTGAAGGAAGATGCTTACTGACACATGCAAATCCAAGTCCGTTGGTTCGTCAAGTAGAAACAAATGTTCTCTTGCAAACAGTTGCCATCTTCCATGCTTTTGCCCAAAGTGGCTCCTTCCCCTTGACTTTGGTACGCCGATTTTGGCGGACTGTGCTGTGGTTGAAAAGGAGCCAGCTGATGGGCCGATTGCGGTCCTAGTCCTTTTACGTGTACCAAAGGTCTTTCTTAACTTGCGTAATACTCGGAGGTTCCAAAGGTCTTATTGAATGACATGGTAACAACCATAGGGTTATGTGGTTCTCCAGTTGACAACAGATTTCCTCCACATGCACCATTTTCAAGCCCATACAAGGTGCTGCTTTGGAAAAAACCATTCTGCTTCTGCACGGACGTCACTGGTGGAGCACCAACGGTCCAACGGCCCAACGGTCCATGCCTTCCACCGCCGCCGTTTGAGTCGAAAGGAGTGGCCTTTTTGGGCTCCAAGAGGCAGGAGAACTGAGCTGCCAACATCCCCCAAGTTCCAAAGGATTTTGGAGCTGAGAGTCTCAAGAACTAAGGGGAGTTGTATGTGTCCTGTGTCACTTTGGGCGCAAAAACGGAGCCCCCCCAATCCTTGAAACTGGAGCGAATCCTTGACCTCAGCCAGGTTTTCATTTTTTCGTTTGACTTGACGGACTTCACGTGTTAAAAATCGCTGAGATCAGCTGAGATCCGCTCCCATCCTTCAGCGGTTCCGCCCAATCGAAACCGAACTGGCCATGCTGATTCTGATGCTTCGACTCCTCGCAGTGCTCGGTGCTGTTGGTTTGGCGGTGCTTCTGAAAGGATGCGGGTCTGCCGGGCCGACTTTGGGTCCAATGGACTGTCTTCGGGTCCAATACTTAAGCCCCCAAGTGTTGGGGGGGGAACCGAGAGGAGGCTTTTTTCAATGACAAATCCTCCCAAAGTGACACATCGATTGATGGATGATGGTTGTTTTTTCTAAAGAATCAATCAACATAGTAACATCGATCTGTCTTCTTCTTGCTTTCTTTTAAGAGTTTTTAATTGACACTTCAATCATCATCGACCTGTGTTTTTCTCGAAACAAATCCAGATAGTTTTGACTTATAACTTCAAATCCCTCATTTACGGACCGGTTGGACCAGGGTTTCGTTTTTGACTTAAAATCTTCCTTACGGGGTAGTCCCAACTTATTCTTTACCGTTTTTTGCATTGGACATACTATAGCTAAAATCCCTAACTAACAAGTGTACAGGTGTTTTGGATCATTCTGAATCCAGGTTGATCACGTGCTTTGCATTCGTGTGGTGGATCCGGTTCCGGATTTCCCATTCCCCCCGCAGTAGCTGTCCGATCACAAGTCGAGATCCGGATCTTCGGAAGGTTCTTCGACCTCAACAGACTCAACTGCCCTCGAAGACTCGGCACCGAACCATGAGTCGAACCGCCCGGGCTGAACCGCTGAACCGCGTCGATCGGGGGTCCGAGACGAAGCCGAAGCTCGGCGCCCTGGGCCGTCCGCGATGCGAAGCTCGGCGCGTTGGCCCCGAAGCGCGGCGCGTTCGCTCGACCTCTCTTGGCTCAGTGCAAAGACGCAGCTCCAACGACCTGCTTTGGTCGATCCGCTCCAGTACGCTCCCGCGACCCACCTCGGCCATGTGGAAGGTCCTTGCCATCATCGGCCTGGCCATGACGGGGCTTTTGAAAGGGTGTGGGTCTTCTGGCGTCAGACTGCGGACGGAGTGGGAGGATGCGGGGATCGCAGGTCGGTCATGTACCAAGGGAAGTTACATTCAGCTGTTTGGTCCCACTTGGCATTGCTAGTGGCCCCCCTAACGTTGAAACTGTTAGCCAATCCTTGACCTGGCAACAAAGGTCATGCCAGGTCTATTTTTTCTGAATTTGACTTGAGTGACTTGAAGTTTGTTGGAGCCGTGCTAGCGCAGATCTCAGGTGCGACGGTGAAAAACTCATGTCCTGCGCATTAAGCACAACAGTTTCGGCTGGAGCGGTGTGTGGCGAGACGGAATACTCGAAAGTCATGAGCGGCGCCACCACTGTGGCGGCCTGTTGCCAGGTAGGGTTCAGGGGAGAAAATGGGGAGAGGATGGTTTAGATGCTGTTTGCAGCCAGAAAATGGGGTGTTACACAAAATGCTTTCCATCATTTTCCATCTGTTAATCAAACACGAGGGCTCCGCCAAGAAATGTTGTCTTTTGACAGGTGAGGTGAATCTCCCGGTTGCCGCTCGGCTCAAAAAGCTGGGTTCATGGGGTGGTGCAATAGGTGTCGCCAATCTGCGGCAGCAGAGGGCGATACCTGGTGCCTGGCGTGTGCTGGGCACGAGGCCCTGGGCCGTGAGCTGTGCAGCAGCTGGCCAGGAGGGTCGAGAAAGCTGGTGGAGGACCTGGTGATCTCTTGTACTCGACAGGTCCGTGCTCTTCGCAACTTCGGCCAAGCGATCAGCTGCACAGGCCTCAGGGCAGAAGCGTGAGGGGGACGGTACATCACGAGCTGGCGACAAGCCGGAGCTCAAGAGGCGCAAGCCTCCTGGTCAGGACAGTAAGGACACCGGGGCCAAGGCCAAGAGCCAGCCTGATCCACCAAAGGACGAGGAGTCAGAGACCGGCGAGTTTGAGGAGGAGAGCGAAGAGGAAGGTGCAGACCAGACGTTGGCACCTTTGGCTGGCAAAGACCATCGACGTCCGCCGGAGCCAGACGGTCCGCCACCCCATCTCAGGAAGCAGCGAGAACGACGAGGAGAGCATCATCGACAGACAGGTGACCATAAGCGGAGGCACTCAGGAGCACATCCAGGGAGCCACAAGCCGAACAAACCTCGCCATCGAGCTGGACGCAAGCATCAAAGGTTGGGAAGGTTGGAACAAGACCCTACAACCCCAGTGCACATCAAGCTTTCAAATCACTACCTGGACACCTTAGCGACGGACAAGGGCCAGGACAGCTTGAGCCGTCTGCCATGACTGGCAGGCCTCACGAGGAAGGAGAAGAATTCAACTTGAACAATTTGGAGCAATGGTGTATGATTTCTCCCCTCAAGGGAGATGTCCTTTTTGTCGACTTAGCCTCAACAGACTATGTACCCAACAGTCAAATCTGGGTGCCTTTCCTGGTCATGTCCACCGAGCTTCTCAAGAAGCTGGGAACCCTGGCCATAGAGGTCAAATACTTGGGAAGCGACGACGTCGAGCTCAACAAGGAGTTGTCCAGCCGCTTCAACCGAAGATCTGGCCGCATTCACCTGTGCGGGACTTCCCCGTGCCTCGAAGACGAGGCTGGGTGCCTGCATGTCACAAGGCTCATCTGGCACACGCTTCCGGGCGCGGAAGGCTGGCTTTCAAGCCGTGCCATCCGATCAGCTCACAGGTGGTTACAAGGTGTTGCCACGGCAGACGAAGCTCTGGAGGCCAAGGAGACCATCGACCTCGAGGAGCACACCAAGCCGACCGCAGAGGAGGAGAAGGATGGGTCTCAATTGCGCAAGACCGCTCTCAGGCCTGGCGCACTCCGCAAGCCCAAGAAGGATGCCAAAGAGTCTGCGCCCCCGGCGGAGCCTTTTTCAAAGAAGGCACCAAAACCGAAGCCGCCTCGGCCTGCTCGACCCGCCTCGGCGCCCTCCGGCAAGGGCGTTGGAGGTGGCAGTGGTGCCAAGGCTGCACTCGATCCGGCCAAGGTTCAAAAGTTGAGAGAGGAGTTGAAGCGCTCGAAGCAAAAGTTGACCACAGGTGGAGCTCCAGATCCCAGCCCTGGAGGAGAGGGCTCGGGAGACGAGGACGACTCGAACGACTCCACTGGGTCCGAGGAATCAGGCTCCGACACCTCTGACAGCGGGGACTCTGATGGGGAGCAAGACGGGGGCAGCGGCAGCCAAGGCTATAAAAGATGGTTCTACAGGCGACTATCACACCCAGCTCATACAGCGAGCGGCCGGCACCGCTGAGCTGAGTCGCAAAGGTACAGAACATCATGGCAAGAGGAAGCGATCCAGGAGCCCATCCAAGAGGACGTCCAAGGAGCCCCACCGCCGCAAGGACGATGGGAAGAAGAAGAAGGACGACAAGAAGAAAAAGAAGAAGAAAAAGAAAAAGAAGGAAAAGAAGAGGAGGAGCCGGAAGAAGGTGACCCTTTCGGATGGGAGGACAGTGAGCTGCTCTTCCAACTCCAGGAGCAGTTCGGGCGGGAGCCTATCGACCGACGAGGATGCGGAGCTGGAAGCCCCATTGAGGAAACGCTCCCAGAAGCGCCCTGGGTCGGTCCTGAACCTGCTGTTGGAACACATTGCGGAGCAGCTTCAACAGTCCGCCGAGGTGGACGTACCAACATCGGCTCGGGGGGACCTCACTTCAGGCGTAAAGGTGGTCTCCTACCTCGCCCTCGCGATCCGACCTCACTTCGCACACCGTCCCAAGGAGCTCAGGGAGATGCACAATCTGGCGACCAGTATCGACTTACTTCGCCAAGGCCAACTAGCCAGGCTGGGAGATGTCCTAGCCGGCCATCTCGTGGCAATTCATCAGTCATTGCTGGACGCTTCATGGGCCTCAGCCAGGCATTTGGAGGTGATGCCGATGCCGGAAGGGACGGCCCTGAGCGATGGGGTCTTGTTGGCAGCAAGGAAACATGGTCGCCAAGTCAGCCGGGCCCAGGACATCAACCTGAGCTGGCGACCAGACAACGGAAAAGGAAGAGGCAAGAAAGGACAACAGTGGAGCCACTACGACGGGGAGCACGACGGCGCGTGGTGGCAGCCAAAAGGAAAAGGCAAGTCACAAAAGAAAGGAAAGCTAAAGAAGGACAAGGACAAGGACAGCACCGAGAAGACTGGCGACAAGTAGCTGGGACATCTCACTATGAGGGGCTGGCAATGGCCGCGCCCGTTGAGGAGGAGCAGACACCATTGATGCATGCAGGCCTTGAAGTGTTCACCCAAGTGCTACAGAATACAGCAACCTTAGGAGAGCTAGGTTGTGCGCTGGGGTGGCTGCTGGCAAGGATATCAAACGGTACAGCTTTTGAATTTGACAAAGTGGTTGCTCGAGCAGTCTTTGAGCGCTGCTGCAGGCCGCAGATCGTCTCGGCTCGCGGGGCGATCTTCCCTATGCCCTCAGGGGCCCTCAGCACCTGTGAGGACGCTTTGAAGAATGCTTCATTGGCCCAAGTTGTGACACCACTCTTCGTAGATCGCTGGCAGCACCTCGCCTGGCAATTCTGCGTAAAGGTGGGACTCAACGCCATTGAAGGCAAGCTTCAGCCGCTGGCAAAGGGCCGCACTACCAAGCTGCAGGCTCGTGCCGCGGCCGCCTCAAGTGCAGCGGTCCAGCGCTTCCTAAATTTGGGAGGGCGCTCGACTGGATCCCCTGACGCGATCAGAGCTGAGCTAAAAGGGATTCGTATTTCCTACACAGGGGAGGAGATGGGGACATGCCATAAATTGACCAGAGACCAGGTAGTTCCTGCTCTCCCACCAGGTTCACATGGTGCCTCTGTAGATGTCATGACACTTCTTTCCCCGGGAACTCAACGTCTGCTACTGCATCCTGACAACCTCATAGTGAAAGACGTTGGACAAGATTTGCCGTCACTTCAAGCCAGAGTCCATTGTTCTCAAGAGGAACTCCTCCCACTTTGTTTAGAGTTGGTGCAAAGGCAAATCTGCACCTGGATCCCCCTAGACACGGTGTTCCAATTCCGGCAGCAACCAGTGTTGTCAGGCCTGTTCGGAGTAGAGAAGTCCGCAAAGCTTGACGACGGTCGAAGTGTATTGCGTTTGATCATGAACCTGGTCCCAATCAACTCGGTCATGGAGTCGATCTCAGGCTGTGTACGGCACCTTCCATCCATTACTTCTTGGCTGGGGATTTCCACTGACGTCGATGATCACGTGGGATTATTTCAAAGTGACCTTTCAGCAGCTTTCTACTTATTCCGCTTACCTCCACAGTGGACTAGGTTTTTGGCCTTTAACGTCAAGATCCCCGGGACGGACTTGGGACTGGACGATACCCGTACTCACGTCTTGGCCTGTAGGGTCATCCCGATGGGATGGATAAGTTCGGTGGCGTTGATGCAGGAGGTAGCGAACAGGTGGCTTACATGGGGGGGTGCTGAAGAAGATGCCCAGGTATCCCGAGGTTCGTCGCTTCCCTTGTTCCTCACTGGGTGCGTACATGAGAGCCAATCTCGTGACAGACCTTGGTGGCACGTGTACTTAGACAACTTTTGTTCAGGGCAACGAGTCAAAGGCACCCCAGACTTCCGGAAGGGACACGAACTGCACAACCTTGTCGAGGACGTCTGGGCCCGCACGGGCTTGGTCTCATCGGCAAAGAAGAGAGTCTCAGGAGCTTTGTCGGCACAGGAGTTGGGGGCTTGGATTGACGGGAGTCAGCACACGGTCTCGGCGTCGGGCGATCGTTTCATCCGTTTTGTCCATGCCACCCTGTATCTCCTGTGTTGCCGGTTCTTGAACAAGAAAGCAGTCCAGGTGATCATAGGACGATGGGTACACGTGCTGCAATTCAGGCGACCGCTCATGGGCATACTCACTCATGTTTGGAAGTTTATTTCAACCACGCACCCGAGTCCGGCCGTGATCCTTGCAACTCGTCAAGAACTGTGGAAATTGACCCTACTCACTCCTTTGATGCACACCTTCCTGGGAGCAACGGTCGATGACTGTACCACCGCATCGGATGCCTCGTTGAAAGGGGGGAGCGGTGGGCATCGGAACAGAACTCAGTTTGGAGGGGAAGGACTTTGTTTTGAGCTCTCAGATTAGGAGTGGGGACGTTGGAACAATTCCAATATTAGTCATTTCATTGTTTAATGGTATTGGCGGGTGCTTTAGAGTTTACGATGTACTAGACATTCGGCCGCTTGGGATGATTGCTGTCGAGCTTCACAAACCGGCCATACGCATTGTGGAGCGGAGATGGCCGCAGTCCAAGACCGTGCCGGATGTCCGGCTGGTCGACGCTGCTCTCGTGAAGCAATGGCGCTTGGAATACCCTATGACTGAGGAAATACATATTTGGGCCGGTTTTCCCTGGGTTGACC